GGGGGGGGGGGGGGGGGGGGGGGGGGGGGGGGGGGGGGGAGGGACAGACAAACAATCCTCATATGCAGAACTCGGACCCTCGGAGAAAAAAAAAAAAAAATAACACTGGATGCAAGGATTCCCGCCGTGAGCTTGTTGAAATGCTCATGTCTGACGGCGCGGAGTTGACAGTTGATGAACACTGGCGCTCCATGGATTGGCTGTGGATTTCCTGTGAAGACCTGTGACTATATGGATATTTGGATAGCGAGCGGTCTGGGATTTTAATTTTTTTTTTGTCGTTTGGGGGTGTGTAGCGGGATAATGTTTGCGGTCTTACACCGGAGGTGCAATGTTGGATTGGCATGATAAGTCTTCACCTATACAACTGATACAATGTTGAGGTGATTTGATAAGTCTTCACTAACACTCAAAGTAATTCTGGGGGTGACATGATCAGTCTCAACTTACAACTAATGTAACAGTGGGGTAACATGATTAGGCTTCACTTACAACTAATACAATGGTGAGGTGATTTGATAAGTCTTCACTAACACTCAAAGTAATTCTGGGGGTGACATGATCAGTCTCAACTTACAAATAATGTAACAGTGGGGTAACATGATAAGGCTTCACTTACAACTAATACAATGGTGAGGTGATTTGATAAGTCTTCACTAACACTCAAAGTAATTCTGGGGGTGACATGATCAGTCTCAACTTACAACTAATGTAACAGTGGGGTAACATGATAAGGCTTCATTTACAAGGAAGGATACCTATGCCCAAACCACTGGTCCTGGTCTAACGATGTCATGACGCACAACTAGATGTGAGACTTACCGACACTACAACTGGTTATCATGCGACGTAAAGTAAGGATGGAGGTGTTCTGGACGGAATGTCCTTAGCTTATCTCTTTTTAGTTGGGAATATTTTAGGACTGGAATCTTGAAAAGGTTAAATCCTTTTACTTCAAAAAAATTAATCAGTTCTAGGGACAGTCATGACAATGTCATAATCCAGGGAATCTGGGGACAGTCATGACAATGTCATAATCCAGGGATTCTGGGGACAGTCATGACAATGTCATAATCCAGGGATTCTGGGGACAGTCATGACAATGTCATAATCCAGGGATTCTGGGGACAGTCATGACAATGTCATAATCCAGGGATTCTGGGGACAGTCATGACAATGTCATAATCCAGGGATTCTGGGGACAGTCATGACAATGTCATAATCCAGGGATTCTGGGGACAGTTATGACAATGTCATTATCCAGGGATTCTGGGGACAGTCATGACAATGTCATTATCCAGGGATTCTGGGGACAGTCATGACAATGTCATAATCCAGGGATTCTGGGGACAGTCATGACAATGTCATAATCCAGGGATTCTGGGGACAGTCATGACAATGTCATAATCTGGGGAATCTGGGGACAGTCATGACAATGTCATAATCCAGGGATTCTGGGGACAGTCATGATAATGTCATAATCCGGGGAATCTGGGGACAGTCATGACAATGTCATAAATCCAGGGAATTTCTGTTGACTTGTCGTTTCCCATATTTGTTGTTTTCACCACCGACCGTGTTGCCTTCTACAATTCAACGTGTTCAACTGATCAAGACTTTCTAACCTGTATTCGTTCACTTCCAGCCCAAACATGTCTTCATTCTTTTTAGAAGCCATTTAAACAACCTATGCGTGTGTATTTTCTGAGTTCTTGTATTGTCCAGAATGAAGCAGTAGGTCTGTCTATTGGTCTGATCATGTTTGATACGTGTCCGTCCTTATTTCTGATTATGTTTGAGAGTTGTTCTTGTATGTCTGACCATGTTTGAAAGTTGGTTGTTCTTATGTCTCATCGTGTTTGATAGCTGTTCTCACGTCACACCGTGTTCCACGATATCTCAACAAAGACATCATGTTGTGTCCACCGCTGCCACTTGGTTTTGTTCGCTTTGGGAAATTCCCGATAATCTTGTTCATCTCATTCAGAAGGTGGCTGCCAAGTGGATTTCAGAGCTTTACCCAAAAAATTCAACAAAATTCAGATTTCCATAAAATCCTATTTTTTGTTGAAGTTGAACGATTAAAAAAATAATACAAAAAACATGTTTTCAAAAATAAGCTTTTTTTTTTTTCCAATTATTAATAATAGACCCGGAGGGGGGGAGGGGGGAAGGGGGGGGGGGGACTTCCCATCCTAACTTATGCCANAAAGAGAAAAGTGCTCAGAAAACGGAAACTCTATTCAACGCCAAAAGAAATAGTTTGATTTTTGTTTTTGCTTTCGTAAGAGCCTGTTTTTGTTTTTTTTTTCTTTTGTTTCTTTTTTAAAAGAAAGAGTTTTCCACAATAATTTCGGCGACCATTGAAACTTTTCAAAACTTAAACACACACACACAAAATAAAACCAAAAAAAAAGAAACAAACAAAAATTTCGCTTTTTTCTTTTTTCTCAAGGGGAGTCAACCCAAGCGCATCGTAATCGCTTTAAACCATCGTCGTCGTGTAGTTTACAGGTAATTAAAATGAATGGCAAGTAATGAGTGGCGCATTTAATATCGGAGCTCCGGGCACGTCTGAGGTGGTGCGGCCCCCGTCTGTGGTGGTGCGGCCCCAACAATGCTGTATCAACAGTGCTTGGCGCCATGGCTCACGGCTCTGATATCCCCGCGTCTTTCATACCGCGGGGGCTTGCATAATGGCGCGCTTCCCCTTCGTCTGCTTTTCTTTCATTCGGCCATTTCGATGCATTAGCCCCGCGCCCCACCTCACACCGCGGACCTGGCTTATGCGTGTTATTTTATTAAATGGGGGGCCAGCGGAGATTCCCCCCCCCCCCAACCATAAACAGCTAAAATAATTGTCTGTGTTTCTTCTTTTTCGATTTTTCGTTTGGTCGACTTTACAAACAGGAGAGGGGGGGGGGGGAGAGATATTGGTACAGTGTACAATACTGTGTTCTTTTCAGATAGGATTTTTTTAAGCTCATAACTACTCACCTTTGTTCAAAGATGAGCATACTTATCTGACCGCCTGACCTCATCGTTGTTAAAAGCTCTGACAGATTCCCGAGGGTCAGGGTCAGTTTAGCACGTGCATGAAGGTGAGAATCTAATACCTGAGAAATACATTTTTTTTTAAAATCACCATACATTGTCTGTGTGGTCTTTGTAATTTTTGTGGTCATTGTGGTGTGTTTTTCCTGTCAGTTTATGCGGTACCTTCTATTCCATGTGATCTCTGTGATGACATGTGGTCCATCTGATTCAATGCAGTTCCTGTGATTTCATGTGGTCCATATATTTCCATGTGATCTACCTTATTCCACGTGGTCTCTGTGATTTCATGTGGCCCCTGTGATTTCATGTGGCCCCTGTGATTTCATGTGGCCCCTGTGATTTCATGTAGCCCCTGTGATTTCACGTGGCCTAAGTAATTCCATGTGGTCCCCGAATCTCTTACCGTTATATCGACACAATCCACGTTGACAAGTTGTTCAATATGTACACCCCCCCCCCCACCACCAAACCCCAACCCGTATAGACACAAGCAAGAAACATTGGCGCCTGTTTGATCCATCAGCCCACTAATGGTTATG